TTTATGAACCAAAAAAAAGACATCTAAGATAGATTGTGCTACATTAATCCAATCCCTTCATTTCACAAGTGAGGGTCGTAAACCTAAACAGGCTACAAGATGACCACTGTACTATAGCAAAGCTCGAGGAAACCTTCATGACCTATTTGCTGGATGATAAATGACAATTACAGGCAAATTCACAACCTTGCTACAAAGAGTAAACCAAGGAATTAAAAACACAATTTAAAAAAGTACTTCATAAAATTCTAATAATTAAATGAAATATCTAGCTCTTTTAATGAAAATCATAAAAAATAATTTTTATTAATTATATTCTAAGGTTTCATAACACATTTATCTATAGAAACTCCCCCGTCAATCTCAGTGGCAAGAAAGATTACCAAGGGCATCAGAGGTGAGAAAGAAATGTCTGGACTGGTGACCTGGGCAGTTCTTCAACTGAAGGTTCAGGGGAAGGCAGTTTCTAACATAGCAGACAACCAAGGCTGCAAGCTCATTCCTACCCAGTCTCTCCGACATTATGGTCCACATAAGTAGCAATAGCTGAGCGTGAGAAAATGAACTGAAAGAACTGTCATCTCAGTGGCCAAATGTGGAAGATCCAAGATCCGGATAAGCAGGGTCAATCTACAGCAGTAGACAAAATTGCATCTAATCTGTGGATACGGTTTACGATAATGCTGAAACAGATGCAGATGTTAGTTCTCAATCTACCTTCCATTTACAGTCAGGCTCAATTCCTCAGAATTCAGTGAACCTCAGAATCCTTGGGCAATTTCAGAAGGAGTACACTGGATGTCTCAATAAGAAGACATAGAATTACTGCTGAAGGGCAGAGGAGCATCTTGAGCAGTTAATTGTAAAAATAAGACATGAGTATATTGATACCCCAGGTAGATGATACAGTTTATACCATTTTTACAAAAACCATTCTAAAGTGGTATTTTTGTTATGTTTAAATTCAAATTGTATGAAATTTAGTGGAGATAGAATGGTAATAAGTAAGTTTGGACATTATGGATGAATTTCTGGGTAATTAAATGATTCCTACATAATTCCAACATATTAACTGACAAATTGGAAAAAAGAAAAGAATTAAAAGTTATGTCTGATTGAAGGAATAAAATCAAGTGAGTAGACTAATGAAAAAAAGTGCAATAAGATAGTAATGATGAAGGAAGCCATGATGGTACCTGACAGGGAAAAGGCCTTTCATTGTTATTTAATGGCAGCTTTTTCCCATTTATTTTGTTTTTAGAGTAAACATTTGACATAGCTTCTTACTGTAGAGAAAAGAACATAAGGTTTGAGGACGGAAAACTTGAACTGAGATCCTTGCCCCACCATTGACCTCGAACACATCACTTAGTATTTTTTGTCCTTGCTTCCTTTTACTAGAGAGGAGCAAGAACATCTTACTCACTGGGCTTGTTGAAAAGAATAAATAAAATAAGCATGTGGGCATGCTTGACATATAGAAGACCTTTAAATATGTTAATTTTTTTCTAAGAATATTTAAAATCATCTTGAGGAATACTTTAAAAGAATGTGTAGAAAAATAGAGAAATAGTAAAAGAAATGTGGGACTTCGAAAAGCTTCATAATGAGTTAATAGCTGTTTAAAAGTGCTCATTAGCATTTGATAACCTTTGCAGTTGGCAAAGTGCTGTTCTGAAGATTCTATTATTATATGGTATAGAAGTAGAGAAGAATGAAAACTCGATCTATCAGAAAATTGCCAGTTAGTAGGACAGGTGTTAAGAATATAATTGTAATTTGAGAAAAGACATTAATAATTTAAAGGTCGAAGTGGTCCAACCCTTAGGAATTCATGTAATAAGGAGTTCATAATGCAAATTAAAGCTTTTATTAGCTATGTGAGGGGAAAAAGTCACCTCTGAGCGTGCAAACTTCTAAAAGGGACAAGTCGTCAGTTTTTCCTATCTGAAAAGATTCCCACTCTTACGTTATTTAGTTTGATCATCACCATCACCATCATTAAATATTCAATGAATGTTTCAGGGCTCCAAAATAAAACTGTGTAAATAATTGTCCCTGTGCTAAAAATAAATAAATAAATAAAATTTTAAAAAGATACTCCAAGTAGAAATTTAGGACTAGGTTTTTTGAAAAAGGAAGGAAGGAAGGAAGGAAGGCATGAGAGATGTTATTGTTGGAGCCGTTGAGAGCCTTTGCTCAAGAATTATCCCCTTCCTCTGCAGTCAGGTAGAGGTGCTTGCTCATTTTGAACTCACCTAGAAGTCTTTCCAGATAAACCAGTTATGAGTCCAACAGTTTTCTTGACCAGATCTTATTGGCAGCTTTTCTGAGCAGAGCACCTCCCTCTCCATGATGAATTTCCTGTTTCTACTCCAGCCCTGCATATTTTTACTTGAAGAAAGAAGAAACATATTTCCCAGATCATATCAGGGTTATTTTTGTCATCATCAGAATTATATTTATTTTTAATAGCTGTTATAAACTGTCAAATGTTTCTTAAAATTCTTCCTAACAAATTGCAGAAGTCCCCAGAGATTATTTTAAATATGCACAATGTAAGCCTCATAGATAGCACTTAGTGTCTATAACTTTCCTCTAACCCTGTTTGAACAGCTGCAGTAATGACTGCAGAAAAATGACAGAATCAACAGGCACTAGCCAAAACCAATGCAATGAGCAATCCCAGGGCATAAGGTCTTCCCCATTTCTTCAAGTCAGAGCCAGGCTGATTCAACTCACACTTCAGCTCTCCAACAGATAGGGAAGAGAAAATATGCATTGCTATCTCTTGATCTGCACAGCTGTAAAGTCTTCATACTCAAAATATCTTAATACATTCTTATAAAACAATTTTTCTTTTTCAAATGTTTAGCTATTATATTGAACAACTGTGGTTCGAAAGAAATGACAAGGCAATTTTGCTTTGTTTTTCTATTCTGTTTAAATTTATTCTTGTTTTTCTATTCTGTTTAAATTTATTCTATTCTGTTTAAATTTATTCTTGGAGATCTTCTCCTGACCTGTGATGAAAGCTTGGTCAGATCATAGGACTTTTCAGGTCATTCTTAGGAAAGACCGTGAGTGCTGTGCTGAATCTGCTCAGCCTGACCAGAGTCATTGAGCATGTTTCTTCCTAACTCCACATCTAGTGATGTCGTGTTGGAGTCTTGAAATCAGTCATGGTGGTCAAACACTATAAACCATAGTTGCTAGCACATCACCATTGGAGAAAATGTTAATCATTTACCTCTCTTGCAAACAATTCTTTGGTTACTTTGAAAAATAAAACACACCTTCACTTTAGCAATGAAAAAACCCTATCCCTCATAATAGAAAAACCTGTGACCTTGCTTTAAAGTTGGAATTCTCATGTTTGTCCTGCTTAGGTTTATAGTAGGTAGAAAAGCCTGCTGCAAGGAAAAGAGAATGTAGTCAACTTCTTCTTTTTCTCTCTTTCCTCAACTAGGGTTTCTCGCCTCCCCATCTTGCTACTACAATTCCAGACTTTTTCTAGATTTAGGGCAGGAGTTGGTGTATAAAGTCAGAGGAGCTGGCAAGTTTTTATTTGACTGGGATTATTAGGATGTCTAGTGTTAGGGATCTCTGACTTGGCAGATATGCAGAGCTGACTCTTCTGTCGGCACTTTTCTGAGTTCTTCAGCATTCTTATCTAACTGGGGGTCCTCCACATGTAGCTGGATGTATCACTATTCCAACTTGCCACTTCTTCTGCAGTCCTTTAACCACTGTTTTCTGTCCCAGTTTCCTTCTGCTGTGGTCCTCTAACCCCTTAAGGAAGCCTTTTAAACAGGACCTAAAATGAATTTACTCCAGCTCTCTCACACACATCCTTCGGCCTGACAAACTCTGAGAACACAGGTGTCTTAGTAGCTCAGGCTGCTGTAACAAAATACCATAGACTGGGTGGCTTAAACAGCAAACATTTATTTCTCAAACTTTTGGAGGCTTGGAAGTCCAAGATCACGGTGCCAGCAGATTCGGTTCTTGGTGAGGGCCCTGTTCCTGACTTGCAGATGGCTAAAATCTTGCTGTATCCTTATATAAGGGAGAGAGAGAGAGAGAGAGAGAGAGAGAGAGAGAGAGAGAAGGAGGGAGAGAGAGAAAGAGCTCACTCTGATTTCTTCCTCTTCTTATAAAGATAGTAATCCCATCATGGGGGCCCCACCCTCATAAACCTCATCTAAACCTAATTACCTTCCAAAGACTGCACCTCAAACATCATCTCCTTGGAGGTTAGGGCTTCGACAAGTGAATTTTGAGGGGAACACGAACATTCAGTCTATAACAGGTCAAATCCAACATATCAGTAATTCTACTTCGATATGGTAAATTCATTATCACACAACCAATTTTTTTAGTACCTCTTTTGATAATTTTGTGTCATATTTTCCCATCTAGCTTTGGGTTATTGTAGATTTATGGTTCCATGCCTCAGGAAAGCTATTTTAAGACTATTATGAAACATATTTGTTGCAAAGACCCCTTTACCAGAACTCAGACTTGAGATTAATGAAGGCTGGGATAGAGCCATACTGTCCTCAAATCTGTGCATACAGGGACTTGTCTCAGGTCTTATACTTCATGGATCCCCACAGCTTGAAGTACTGCCCTTTCTTATCTACAGTGGGGTGTTATAACCCATCTCCTTTCCTTCCTGGACAATCCATAGAGTGCAATATCGTTACCAGCACGTTTCCAGTCTGAGCTATGCTGACTGGAATATGGCAAGGACAGAAGGTAGATAATTTTGTCCAGGCTGGGTTTAGCCTCTGAGGTGAACTATAGCCAAGCTTACCATGCTTTTAAGACATTGCAGATTAAAAATAGTTTAAGGAAAATGTGTCTATGTGTTACCTAGTCACTCTTATATAACTTGAGGCTAATGACACAATATGCACTGTTATAGTGATACAGCAAGAAAATGAAAATGAAAAATTTGAATATTAGATCTAAGTGACAAGATTTGCCAAAAGCACCCTCCTCTTGTTGGCGGGGATGAGCATGTGTCCCAATCCCCATAATGTACGGAGGCAGAAGGAAAGGGCTCCAGCACCCTCGGCGTCATGTCTTCGGTGCCAGCAGCTTCCAGTTCTCCAGTTCTATCCTTAAGCACTGGGACATGGGGCAAAAAACAAAACAAAACAAAACAAAGATTTGCCAGAAGTAATTTTTAAGTAATTAATTATTCTGTAATTTTAGAGTGACATGACTGTAGTTCTAAAAGCTCAACAAGTCCCTATTTAGCACTTCCTTCAACCTTACAGGATAATTTCCCTCATGAAATGAAAGACAACAGCCATGTGTCAAACATGTCTTCTTTGAAGAAACCAGAGGAAACCCAAACTGTGCTCATGGAACACCCCCTGATTAATGTTATCTTGTAGTCTTTCTTGAGTGCTACACCTTTTAAGCTAAATATAATAAAGTATAACTTATAGTCTATGTATTTTCTTCCATCTTCAAATCCAGTCTTCTGTAGGCTTACTTTACACTCCAGGTCCCTATTTGTTCTACAATGCGTTATACAAACACATGCACTCCAAGAACAAGATCAAGATCTAATTTTCACAGCACATGATGCACACTTTATATCATGGCCTAATAAAAACACTCTTGCATATGTATATATACATATCTGAAAAAATGTTTGACACATAATAATTACCTTAATACATATGATATTTTCTGATATTTGCCATTTTATTTTTAATGCTAATTTTTATGAACTGATTAATTGACCTAATAATGGGGTTCATCCTACAGTTTAAATCTATTTTGCTTTATATTCAATTTTCATAGTACCCTGGAATCCATCTATGTATAATTAATGAAATTAATTATATCACACATTTTGTATTGCTAAACATATTGTGAGCTTTTCAAGGGCATGCACTTCTCTTCCTCAACTGTAATATAGTTAGATGCTAAAAGAGCTCTGGACTTCAATTTGCAGTAATGACAGAGTCCAGAATTTAGACAATCTTGTATAAAATGTAAACAAGCATTTGCTTTAAGGCACTGGAGACTCAATGACTAGGGAAATCAAGAGAAGCAAGGTTGGGATTTAAGCTCGCTTTCCCCTGGGGCACTTGCTAATACTGAAAGAGACTTCTAGGGGGCTGAGGTGAGCAGTACTCTCAACAATATTCCAGGAATAGGTAGACAAAAGCTGGAGTCCAGGAGCTGCCTGGGAGTACAGGGAGGTACTGATAAATCCCACACACTTTGGGTTAGGGCTCTGAAGGGTTACACATTATGAGTAAGAGGAAACCAGAAGTGGTCCTCCATTGGAACTACAGCCAAGCTTTCAATCTTTTCAATCCCAGAAATCAAATCGAGGTGATCCTAAATGCTAGTGCCCAGAGGCAACTGTGGGAAAAAGTAAATCATTTCTAGTGAAAGATATTATACCAAGACACAATTTGTACAAACACTTCTTAAGTACAATGTCTGGCTCACAACCAAAAACATCCACACATGTGAAAAGACAAGATAAAATAAATGAGAATCAGCAGAAACAACAGACAATTTAAAAAGCCTACAGGGATTGCAGGTGTTGGTATTATCAGACACAGACTTTAAAATAACTATGTTTCCTATAATTAAGGTTATAAAGATACAATTGAGAATTTCAACAGAGCTGGAAACTGTGAAAAAGGACAGAGTACATTTTAAAAAACACTTCGAAATTCTAGAAGTCAAAAATACAATTGACAAAGTTTAAAACTCAGTGATGGGCTTAATACTAGCTTAGACACAATGAAGAGAATTAGTGAAGTGATATATAAACCAGAAAAAACAATTTAGAAAGAAACACAAAGAGACAAAATTTTTTTTTTTTAATACAGAAGCAAGGGTAAGAGAGGTGAAGAATAGAATGCGAAGGTCTAAATTAGCTGTAAATTGTAGTCCCAAGCAAAGAAGGGATAGAATATGGGATAGAAGTAATATTTGAACAATAGCTGATAAAATTCCCAAACTGAACATTCTAAGACACAGATTCAAGAAATACTACAAACCCAAGTGGGTTAAGTAAAAAGAAATCTATGCTTAGGCACATCTTAGAAAAACTGATTATAATTAAGAACAAATAGACTATTTTCAAAATGGCAGAGAAAAAAAGACAAATTACTTTAAAAAGAGCAATAATCACACTGAGAGTTGACTTCTCAAGAAAATAGAAGCCAGAGAATGATGATATATTTAAAGCACTGAAAGAAAATCAGTGCTAATTTATAATTCTAATAAAGGTAAAATAAAAACATTTTTGGAAAATAAAAACTGAGAGAATTTAGCAGAAGACCAGTGTTAAAGGAAATATCCAAAGGCATTGTTAGGTGGAAGGAAATGAAACCAGATGAAAAGTAAACATTAAAAAAATAAATAAATAGAAAATAAAGTGGTAAATTTATGAGCAAATATATTTTAATGTTGATTATATAAAATAATAGCTAAAATTAACACAAGTAGTATTTAAGGTGAGGGTGGTAAATGGCACTAAAATGGTCTAAGATTATTATATTTTATGAAAATAGGTTAAAAGTAACAATTAATATCAGACTTTGAAAAGTCGAAGATGCATGTTACAATCCCTAGGATAACACTAAGAGTATATAAATTCCAATGGATAAGGGAAATGGAAAAAAATTAAAAGTATCAATCCAAAAGAAGGAGAAAAGAAATATAGGATAGTCAGAAAAACAGAAGGCACATAATAAGATGGTAGATTTAAATACAACCAGATCAGAGATTACATTAAAAAAAAAATGTTAAATGCTCCCATTAAAAGATAGATTATTAGACTAAATTTAAAAAATCTATATGCTATATACAAGAGACATACCTAAAAGAGAGCTATAAAAAAATAAAAAATAAAAGGATGAAAAAGACTTTGCAAACGTTATCAAAAAATAACTTAGCTATGTTAATATCTAATCAAATAGATTTTAAAGCAAAAAGTATTATGAGATAAGAGGGACATTTTTGTTGTTCAACAACTATATACCTATGAGATGACTAAAATTAAGGAGTGAAGCAAAGGAGAATATGGCACAATGAGAATTCTTGTGCATTCTGAGTAGGAGTATGAATATAAGCATATTTGAAAGACTTTCTGGCATTACGTGCTAAAGATGGAGATGCATGTACCTGCTATGGGCTGCATATTTGTTTTCCCCAAAAATTCATATGCTCAAACTCTAACTCCAATGGTATTAAGAGGTGGGGCCTTTGAGGGATAACAAGTCCATGAAGTTAGAGCCCGCGTGATCAGCGCACCTTATAAAAAGAGACACGAAAGAGCTTGCTTCCTCTCTCTCTGCTCTCTGCCATGTAAAGACACAGCAAGAATATTGCCCCCTGTAAATCAGAAAGTAGACTTTCACCAGATGGTGAATCTGCTGACACCTTGATCTTGGACTACAGCATCCAGAACTGTAGGAAAAAAAATACTTGTCATTTAAGCCCCCCTGTCTATGGTAATTTGTTATAGCAGCTCAAAGTGACTAAGACAATACTCTATAACCCAACAAATCCACTCAAGGATGCAGAAAAGTATATACATATTTATCAGAATTTACATACAAGAATTTTCATAATAGCATTATTTATAAGTTTGCAAAACTGAGAACTCCCAAATTTTTATGAATAAAGAAATTGACAATGCTCATAAAATAGAGATATATAAAGGAATTAAAATTAAATTATGTTGCACGCAACATGAAAAAAACTTACAAATACCTCACAAATATAATTTTTAGCAAAAGATGCCAGACACACAGAGTGCATGATTCCATTTGAAAGTGGTCATTACTAAATTATAGCATTTAGAAATACATATGTGAGTGATATAACTAAAGAAAAGCAAAGAAGTAACACTATAAAGTCAGAACAGTGACAATCTTTGTGAAAAAGAGATACAGAAGGGAGCATAATGGGACTTTCGAGATGCTGGCAATGTTCTATTTACTTACCTAGAAATGATGGTGGTGGTTATAAGCTGATCACTTTGTAGTAATTCACTGAGCTATATATTTTTGTCTGATTTGCATTTTATTCTATTTCTGTATGTGTGCTTTGTTTTATTATTTTAAAATGTTTGAAATAAATGTAAATAAAAGCCCTTTGTAAACTTTAACTGATGTGATCTAGACCTGGTAGATCAGTCAATTAAAAGTTCATAATATAAAAATCATTTAAATAAAGATGCCTCCATACCTAGACCATTTAATTTTTAGTCAAAAATTAGGTATTTATCCAAAATAAACAAAACATATGTCTATAGAAAGACTTGTACAAGAACATTCACAGCCACTTTATTTACAATAGCCTCAAACTGGAAACAACACAAATATGCATCAACACAATTTGCAAAATATCTATACAATATACTGATAAACAATTTGTGGTGTATCTACACAATGAAATCCTAGTCAGCAATATCCAGGATTATACTACTGATTCACTTAACCATATAAATGAATCCAGTTGTGTTCTGACAACTGACTCTTCAGGCTAGGAAAAGCCCTGATTTGTAGTGTTTGGCAATTTCCACAAGGTAAATATTCCCACTTCAATATTCCCATTTTAACTTGAAGTCACTGAATGCAGAGTTAGGAAGAGAGACACACAATTGATTCTCACAACCTGATTTGAGCCGCTGAATGAATCTCACAGACATCATGCTGAATAAAAGAAGGCCAGACACAAAAGGGTACGCATTATATGATTTCACTTATATGAAATTCTGGAAAATGAAACTAAAATTTTTTAAATATCAGAAAAGTGGTCATATCTGAGGTGTTAGGGGTGAGGAGATATCCTGGGAAGGGGCATGAGAAAATTTGGGGGAGAGATAGAAATGTTCTACATGTGATTAAGAGTATGCATTACATGAGTATATCTATTTGTCAAAATTATATAGCTAGGATTTGTGCATTTCAAAGCATACAAAGTTTACCTCAGAAAAAAAGGAACCACAGAAAAGTAATGCGATTGGTTGAGTTGGGAGAAGTAGGTGTAAGTTTTAATAACAATATTGAAAAGGCAGAACATTGATAATTATTGAAGCTGGGTGATAAGCATATGTAGATTCATTATATTATTCTGTTTATCTTGTATATGT